CTACTGTAAGCCTCAACACAACAGGATTCAGGTCAAGCTCTGTGGGTCAGCAAACCCAGCTCCGTGAATTATATTCCCAGAGGTATCCCACTCCAGGAAGCCTCAGCCCAAAGGTACTCTGCTCCACTTCCATGGTTTGGCAAGCCCAACTTCCCCAATTAAGTGCTCAAAGGTATCCCACTCCACAAGCCAGCCTCCTACGCAAAAATACTCTGCTTTACTTGCTGTGTGGGTTGGGAGGTCCATCACTCTGATCCGTGCTCTGGCTCCAGCTTCTGATGTTGTAGATGTCATCTGGATCCAAGAGGTTCACCACACAGGGTTCTTGCATGCAGAAGACGTGCTCCACACCTAGCTCTTGATGGTAATGAGATATCTCCTCCTGATTCTCATTTCATACACAGCAGGATGCCACTCCAGGGAATCTTGTTCATAGTTACTCATGGGAAAATTCTATCCATGTCTTTCCTACCTTCTTATCAAACCAATACTGGAAAAGGCTATTTGGTGGGGGTGAGGGACTTTGGCCAGAAGAACCATATTAAAGAATCCACTGCCCCTGCACTGAAGCTTGTCATTTCTCTGAGCAGATCGCCGAACCTGGAGGTGATCTTGGGACCTCAAAAACACTCTTCCTCAGGTGATGGTGTGCTTTATATGGGATCACATGCATTCATCTTTATCATTGTGGCTGATACAGACTAAGCACAGACAGACTAGCGAGAAGAAACCATGCATGTACCACACAAATCTTCACTTCCTGACTGTATGCCCTTCTGTTCCGTGGTGCTCACAGGCACAGAACTGTCTTTCGCCCAGATCTGAGATTCCTCACTGCTAACAGAGTAATAGCTATTGTTAACAAGATCTTACTATTTTCCTCTTGAGTTACTTCCTCTATAATTTTTTCTCTCAACCTTGCTAAAATGGTAAAATTCTATTTATTACCATTTATATTACAGCTGTGTAGTATCACCAAAGAAAGCGTAGGTAGAACCATTCCAGTGTCGATTTGCTCTCTACAGTTCTCTTAGTTTAAAAACAGGAAAGTATCAATTCCCCGCTATTTTGCTTTCATACCTTCACTTGGAAGGCATGGCACCCATTGGGAAAGTCACAATTAGGAGAAGACTAGTAGCTCATTTCTATCCCAGTATTGAAGATACTTGGCCTAGCAGGTTTAAGTGCTTGTTCGGGTACAAATACATGTAAAAGAACACATCTCAAGTAACTTTTTAAAAAAATC